ATACGATGTTCTAGTTTAGAGAAGGCGGTACCCAATTGCTCCGACCTTTCATGAGGTATTACTGAGGTATCGAAATTCGAAAGGAATTTTCTTCCCGGCTAAATTTTAGAATAAAGGTTAAGTGAATCTTCCAGATACATTTGAAAATTTGAGGCAAAATGTTTTCTACAATACTAGAGGAAGGAATAATATAATATGGCAGTTTGGTATTGATTCCTCAAATTAATATCATTTGCTTTCAAACCACCATTTCGATCAAGTTTTATGAAAGACTCATTAAACTTACAGATTTTCGAAGCTGATTTCCAGGTTTTCTCCTGATTTATCATCCTTTGCGTACTGACTATTGTCTTTACAGCTGCGAAATTTTTCTTGTATTTCCCATTTTATGAATAATGTGCAATCTCTGATCCCACATATTACTCAGTTCTTTAAGTTTTTTAATTTCACTGTACGAACTGTGAACTTTCGAATTATTTTTGACCATTCCTCTAAACTATTACATTGTTGATACCTAATTGCATTGTGTAAAGAACGCGATTTGGTGTAGTTAAACGTATTATTCCTATTTTGTTAGTTCTTAGCCAGCTGCCGTGAAATCAAATCAATGTTTTACTTGAAAATTTATCCGTCGCTGCTATAATACATGTATAACCTAGTACGCCTATTCATTTATTGAAATTCTCAGAATCTTTCTATATAATTTAAGGCCATTAAAACACTGTAATATATTGTAATATGGGAGTGTGCTGCAACCTGAGCGATAATAATCGGGCTTGTGGTTAATGCGGCACACCCAGCACAGATCAAAACAAAAATGCAGTTAAAAACTTTAAATTCAAAATTCTCGTTATTGCTCTATTGCCATTTATAAAGTTCATCAAATCCTTTGCGAATCTAAACTCTTTCCTGCAACAATAGAATTCCTTTATGTTACCATGTTTTTCCTTAACATGTCTCAATAATGCGCAGTCTTCGACGAAATGTCGTGCATTGCCTTCATTATTACAAAAATTACAAACACTATTAATTTACAAATTAAATCTTTTCAGGTATGCCGGGAAGCGCTCGTGTCCAGTAATTATTTTATGATAATCAAAATTACGTATCATTCTCATATTTTTAGAAACTTCAAAGTTCAACAAATAATCTTTCTTTTTTCCCGAAATGTTCCATTTCTCTTTCCAGCAGTCATGATAGAAATCCTTGATTTTATCCTCGATTTTACCAGTAACAATATTTTTTTATGCCTAAATATCGAACGCATCCCCGGCATTACCCATAGCAGCCTGTTTGGCCAATATGTCGGTCCTCTTATTGCCTATAACACCAATATGAACTTTCGACCAGTTAAATTTTACTTCATGTATGTAAAGAGATCTTTTATACGTGAGACCAAAATATTAGTGTTATTAGCATATTCTAGTGCTTCCAGATAATGAGTCTTTATATATATATGTATGCATATTAATATATCTTTTACAGACAGGTTTTCATCAATCAATTTAAGAGCAAATATGATAGCAGCCAATTCAGCTTGAAAAACCGAATTGTAAGGTTCACGTCTAATTTTGCCATGGTCTGTTACCAAACAAGTAAACTACGTACGCTGCACCAATTTCATTGTCATAACCCGAACCGTCAGTAAATATACAAATAAACTGTATATTAACGCTATATCAAATAAAATTTCAAATATATTTGGTATGACACTGCTTTAGTAGCTTGCTCAGTTAAACACCATGATCAGCTAATCGGAAGTTTTAAGATTAGAGTCCTTAGAATCTTGATTTCATTTGAAATTATACTTAACTTTTCTTTGATGCAATACTTTCCTAATACACTTCTCAACTAAGTTAGTTAATACACTCTATAACAAACGCAGTCATATGATCGATTTATATTCCGCATCAAAATTATATTAAGCAGGACCCTGTTATATGAAGTACAACAAAACAAAGGAACAAATATCTTAAAAATTCTACTTTTCTATAACTTTTTGCAAATTTTCGAAAGGCGAAATCTCTCATAGCGAAAACCATTTACAAATAAAGGGAAAAATACTGCAATCGAACCTTCGTTAACGACCGCGGCACTTAGGCGCGCATTCCTATTGATGAACAGCTCTTGAATCCAGATCGTAGAAGCAAGTGAGGAATGAGGACGGATCTTAGAAGCATTTCCGCCATTTATTATTCTTTGTTAATAGACATAAATCCTTGGTCATGTTAATTTCCGTTTACAAGAAATTCAACTCATTACAGAATATTTTTTACGATCATAGCACATTTATGTGTTATCATTGTAAGGTTTATCCTAAGTTTTTAACAATTTTTAGTTAAAGCTACTTTCCTGTCTCTTCTAATCAGCTTACAATTTCCTGCCAGACTGTATTTTTAGAATCGCGGTTAATGCAGATGACGAAATGCGGTACTTAAGTCGAAGTTCCACTCACTTCGTTAGAGAGCCAGAGATTCTGACTAGCGCGCGTTTGCCTTTTGGCTACACTCTCTCTAAGCTATTACTACGCTCGACCATATTTTGGGCCCTTGATAGCTTCGCCGTTTACTTAACATTTAGGGGCCAACTCCGCTTACCAGTGCTCGAGGTTCCATACACATAGCTTAAGAGAAGAGGTTGGAACCTTATATCAAAAAATGAGGTTTACAAGAAAATCTGATATTTACCCTTGGTGAAAGACTCGAGCGAATAAAAAGACTGCGTATAGACAGTCGGCAACCAGCAATGCTACTTCTTATCATGTTCAATCAGATTAAATTCAGGAGCAAAAGGCATACAGATCAGCCATACATTTCAAACTGTTCTCATCTTCTAATTTATCTGAAATTAATTATATCTTACAAGAGCGAGGGAGCACACAAGTAAAATTTTGTGAAGATAGCACTTATCGTTTTGATTCTGTGGGTGTGCCTAAAGTGGCACACTGATTGAATAGAGCTTCGAAAAGAGAGCTGAAACGAGCATTGTTGTCAATGAACCGACCGATGAGATGCAGAGAAACAAAGAATACAGACTCTCAGTTGTCCTAGATTATCGGTGAGCCCGGTCTGGGCACACCTAGGGTTCGCCGTTTGATTTTAGGCAAGATTTCAAGGTAAAAATTTAAAACTAATATAGAATAAGGAGATTAGCATACAGCCAACAAATAACATAGAAATTTCTCTTCAAACAATTCCTTTTATACCCTAAAAAAGTCTGGAAGATTTCTTTGAAAAATGAGGGTCTTAAAAAACTAAACATGGCTGAAATATATGGACTGGTTTGTGTTGAACTGCCATCTACTATAAATAAAGAAGGTTCAGAGTAACCTATAAATCCGTGTCCTTACTGGACACACTGTGCCGCAAAGGGTTAAAGGGAAGAATTTGGGGCTACAGTAGTAAAAATTTTATTTAAAAGTGTTAGGTATTATTCTGTATATATTCCAGTGTCAGTTAAATATTTCCAGTTTCGAAGAGATGTGGACGATCGCCAAATATTAAACCGCCCACCATTACACGAGAGTTCCTGTTTCTTATGCCAGATGAGAACTCCTCGATTATTAGGCTTTGCACTGAATCACGATTTATTTGTAAAAATATCGAATCGCCATTGCTCAAGATCTTCGCATGTATTTACATCCAGCTCTACTCTGTTTTTCAATAACGTCAAGCTGTCAGATGTACATTTGTGAAGATGGGACATACAATCCTGGCTGAGTTCTCTCTCTCTCTCTCACTGAGAATGTCTACTATAGTTAGTTCAGTTACGTTTACGTCGACCATGTAGCCAACAGTTTGTGGCAAATAACAATCCGTTCTTGGTGTAGATATTCATCTGGGATCTTACTCCTTATCCTTCTTGTATTTTTCAATTGATTTCACAATCTGTTTATAAACAAGAAAATTTCGGTAGCCATCAGAACAATTTTCAAAGCTGAAAATTCTTGATGTAATACGGCTGAATATCTCTTAGGAAAAAAATCAGAAATACGAGTATTATGCTCAAAAAATATCGAGTGGTGACTTTTAAAAGAATTTTCACCTTTCTCTATGTTTGTTCTTTTTATAAAGAGAAACAGCACTAATTATAGTACGCTACTTTAGAATAGGGACATCAAAGCCATTTCTCCCCTGCCCAAACCATATCAACAACTGCTGCGAAAAAATGTTTGGGTCGTCTTATTAGCTAAAATTCCTTAATTTTCTCTGTACGATGATGAAGACACAGCTTACGATCGTAAATAGGGAAGAGTTGCTACGACTTTGAATTGCCTATTTTAAAGTGACAGGCTACAGTATTTAGATGATCCGTGATCAAATTTCTGATTTTTCACGTTTTTAAATCTGATGGTTTCTGTATTAAAGCTTGAACTAAAAACGTTTAAACGGTACGTTTTCCTCTTTCTTTCCTAAGTCACTCTTTAAGTTGAAAAAAAAAATGTGAGGAATTTTCGCATTCCTCATGCGTGCGTTTCTGGTGCAAGTTGTTAGCTTATCCAAGGTAAGCAGCTGAAAGATTGTTGATTTAATTTTCAGGAAGAGTTTAATTGCTTTTTTTTTTCACTTTTCCTTCATCGAAAAACTGAGTAGTCTGTACAACCTTAAAGACAGTCTCACCTGTTATGATTATAGGGCAAATACATCAGTAATCATAATTGATACGATTGGTAAAATTAAATGTTCATAAATATAACCCTCCATATACACTGCAACATCTTACAGTGATATGCAGTCACTTACTTTCTAGTATAATGTGTCTATCTGACGCTTCTTGAATTTCTGTGCAAATATTAACTGTAACAGACCATCCGTTAAACTCCATTAATGTTTTTCTATTTTCAAATCTACTTTCTAAAATTTTAGAGTGGTATTTTCGTTTTGTTTTATACACATGATTTGATTTCGTAAAAGGTTTTCATAAATATTTTTAATAATGTAATTTGTGAGGCATTATTAATTACCTACATTATCTGCTGACTGATTTCATTTTATTTACAGAATGTTAAAGATGATGGTAACCACGTATGGAGACTAAAGCACTTTAACAGACCTGCTTACTGCAATCTGTGCCTCAACATGCTGGTTGGATTGGGAAAAAAAGGCCTTTGTTGTATCTGTAAGTAAAACAATTCTTTGCCATGTAGAGCTTGATGTTCTTGTTTCTTCCATCCGTCGTTATGATTTAAATGTAGGCAGTAATAACGCAAACTGTCTTATTAGAGCTAGAGAAGCCTATAACGTGGCTTCGAGAGGGAGGAACACGCTCTGTCTCACAATCCGAATACCTCAGCTTAAGTACTCTCAAAATATTGTTTACTGTATATTTCTGTGAGGTTTGCAAGAATGTGCATCAATGTTGACATCGAAGGTAATTTTTATTTCATAATATATAATGTGAACAGAAATCGGAGACGTTATTAAAAGAAAAAAAAAATACGTATTCTCTAACATATATAACGTAATGTTCCCAAAATGTTAATACTGAAATTCTTGTTGTTGTTGCTAATGCTCGCTTGTATGTTCCCATGAATTTCATATCTCCTGCTGAAAATAAATTAGTGACTATACAATCAAGTATAAACGTAATAAACCACTGGGAATCGCTCTCACGGTGACTAAACCATTAATGTACTGTCCGCAATTAGACAGATCGAAGAAAAACTGTTAAGTAACCAGCGAGCACTTGTCAGGAACAAAGACGTTATATTTAATCATGTTAATGCCAAACCTTTGTCTTGGGAAGTTTTACCTTCCCCCAGTATATTACCTAAGCCTTACTTCTTCGAACTATTGTTCTTTTCGATCGTTCCAAGAATCTTTGTCCATTCAAATCTTTGATCACGCGCAAGATGTGAAAAACGTGTTAGAAAATTTTTTTAAATTCTAAACCAGGGGATATTTATAGAAGAAAGATTAGCCTCTTCAAAGGTGGATGGGAAAAGATATATAATGGCAATAACCTGAATACGTTCGAATGAAAAAGCTAACAAAAGAAAACCGAGAATGAATATAACTCGCTTCTCAACTTCCGTCAATAAATCATAGGTTTGGAAAGCAGCGGAACAGCTGTAAATGTTGATTAAATTTCGTGTAGTTCGTAAAATAATGAAGTGTGCTTAACTGTCTGCTGAGTATCAGTGATGAAGTAAAACTCTTTGGCTGTCGCACTTTAATTAAATTTGAGCATTTACTTATCATCTCACATGTCTGGTAAGTGGTTTTCATGAAATAGCATTTGACATGAAAGGTATTTTTATAATCCTCCATTTTACATAATCAAAATACGCTGCGTGAATATCCGATGAATTTTAAAGTCTATGGCTTACATAAAATTATTTCTTTCTCAGTCTCTCGTTGCTTAAAATATAACGTCGTTCAGAAATTATTGCTTCACAGTTTAACAGGAATTTAAATATAAATTCCTTAGAATTTAAATATAAATTCTTTAATACTGAATTCTATGGCTTACGTGAAATTATTTCTTTCTCAGTCTCTCGTTGCTTTTTTAGCATTTTCCCGGATATGTTTAGCTGAACACAGGTAGTTCGACCTGGGATAGACTTACCAGACGAAAGGATTGGCTTCGTGGGCGTTTCTGTGATTTTCTTCATGTTTACTTTCATTCCACTTTTCTTAGAAGCTTCTCCACGAAGGCATCCCTCTTCTTAGGCAGCTAACTCTCGAATGCTTTGCCATAATTATATAGACCAAACCAAATCAAACAATTTTTCTTTTTTACCAAAAGGAACCGGCAGAACCTCTGCGCACATCCGGAAATAATATCGGAGAAGAGAACTAGAGACATTCTGGAATTTCATTCAGTTCTTTTATATGATAAGTTCAGTTCAAGCAAAACAAAAACAAACGTTTTTTAGATATAGTACTACTTTATGCAAAAGTGAAATATATGTGTTTTTTTTCCAAAGATCTCCATTTTTTTAAATCAAATTGAAATTTGTGTCGTTTAGTGTTAAAGTTTGAAAAATATATTACGTTATGTCGAATGCTATGGCGGTCAGAGGATAACTATATACCTTAAAATCATGAATCAAACTTGAGTCAACCGTTCGCACGTTTCAATAAACATTGGAGTAATAATAATGGTCTCAATCCTTAGACCTGACCTAATATCAATTGTTGTTCTGGCACTTTATCACTAGGGCAGGAATTAGTTTTTGTTTTTTAGGAAAACTGCCAAGTGTAGGATGAAAAAAATTCTCAGATGCCTTCCTTCTTAACTGTGAGTTAGTTCACTGTTGTATTTTACTGTCTCGTAAAATTTTTCAGTGTAATTCTATGAGATTGTTCCTATAAAAAAAGGTCTGTTTGATCATGTTTTATAGTTAACACAATTCTATCTCTGTAGCGTAATGAAGTTTAATCCTTTGAACGTTTTACGTGTTCAGGTGCTAAATATGTGAAATAAGGTGATCGTTGCTCAACACAAAATGTATGTTAGTTAAGGTAAAACGATTTGTATAATGAATATAATGTTATTTCTTCACTGTTTTGTAAGAAACGACATTTCTTCTTTTCGCTCAACAAGACTATGCGGGAATTTCTTAAAAGCGTAAATTAGCTAATATTTAATCTTATGTATTCAGGAAATTAGCCTTGTGTAACTTAAAACACAGATATTTTCAAGCTAGAATTACTATTTCCATTTTGAATAGATTGGTATACAAAGGTTGGTTCTGCAAATGTTATGCTATGTATCATTCAATGAATAGTTTCGTCATCAATGACTTTAATTGAAAGGTGATTTTCATAAATGACAACTTCCTTTGAGAAGTTTCCGTCAATAAATCATAGGTTTGGAAAGCTGCGGAACAGCTGTAAATGTTGATTAAATTTCGTGTAGCTCGTAAAATAATGAAGTGTGTTTAACTGTCTGCTGAGTATCAGTGATGAAGTAAAACTCTTTGGCTGTCGCACTTTAATTAAATTTGAGCATTCACTAATCTTACATGTCTGATAAGTGGTTTTCATGAAATAGCATTTGACATGAAAGGTATTTTTATAATCCTCCATTTTACATAATCAAAATACGCTGCGTGAATATCCGATGAATTTTAAAGTCTATGGCTTACATAAAATTATTTCTTTCTCAGTCTCTCGTTGCTTAAAATATAACGTCGTTCAGAAATTATTGCTTCACAGTTTAACAGGAATTTAAATATAAATTCCTTAGAATTTAAATATAAATTCTTTAATACTGTAAAGCTTGCTTTCAGAGCAATTATAATCAAAATTTAAAGTAATCAATTCACGTTAAACATCTAAATTACGAAATCTGTTTATTTTATCCGTGAATAATTTCTGAGTTATTTCATTTTTGGCGCAAAGGTAACATTATTGCAAATAAAGTCACAAATAATCACTTGAGTTATTTGATATCACTTATATTCCACTGTCAAAGATGTAGAGGTTCAGTTTCAGCATGAATTAAAACGTATTATACGATTTATTTGTTGTTTGACTTCTGAATTACGTATTATACGAGTTAATATTTTTCCAATAGTTTTGGATTTTAAGTTTAGCTGTGTACATTCCGAAGTGTTAACAAAAGTAAACGTTAACAAAACTTAACAAAAGTAAATTTAAAACGTTAACAAAAGTAAATTTATATTACTTACATATCAAATTAATCGCTCGTTATTCAATTCTACTGCGAAGATTGTCTCATCAGAGGCCGGACGGTAAAGTCGCTAAACATTGGTAGTTCGACCCGTATTTAAATCCCTGTAAATGTGCTAGCTGTAGAGTGTTTCCATTTTCCTCCTCTTAGATAACATTGGATGAGCCGCCTAAACGGTATAGTGGTTAGAGCAGCCGACTGCGATACCAAAGGGCCCGGGTTCGAATGCCTGAGAAGGCACGGCTGTAACTGTCCGCCCCTTCATAGGAGGCAAAGGAAGCCCACCTATTAGGTGCTTCCATAATAAAGTGACTACCGCTTTTGGTCTTATTAGTGGTCAACGTCTATATGATGAATTGTGCCCACCATTGGAAAAAAATTAACATGGATGAGCCAGTTTCTTTTAGAAGTTCTTCCAAGAAGGCATACCCCCTTAGGTATATAGATCTCTTATGCCTTGCCTAAATCACGAAAAAAGGTATCCCTTGCTGAAACTGGATTTAAGAATGAGCTGTTTTAATAAACTCGCTTGGGAAATTGTCCATGGGAACTACATGTAGATGTTTACAACTGAAAAAACTATGAACCAAGATTAAATAACATTTTTGTTTATAATATCTTTCGTCTGCATGGTTGGTAACAGGATAAAGAATTTCAAAAATGAAGCGAAACCGTAAACGTAACTTAGTTTACCTGTAAAATGGTTTAGAAAAGAATTTTTTTAACGGAACTTATTTCAATAATATTAATTGTGCAATATATGGAATTAAATGTTTGCAAAATTAAATGCTTATAAGAAAGCATCGTAGGGCTAGGAAATTCGAAATTAGATTCTTTCAGAACCAAAGATTATTGGAACGTGATTATCGTGTATGATGACGAAATTGCATACATTTTCTGTGCTAAATGTTATTTGACTACGAAAATTATTCATCCCTTTATATATTCATGATGTATATTTCCTGTTCTGTATGTTCCCGTCTGTTTTCGACGAAATTTCTAAGGAAAGCATTTCTATATCTTTCTGTGTTCAAGTTCGAGGATGGCTCGGTTTGATATGTAAAAACATTATTTCCCAGCCATCTTGGAAGTATCACCGATCGGAACACCAAACACATGCTTTTGCTGCAGCGTTCTTGACATTCCTTGAAAGATTGGTATAATGGCTCTTCAATTATCTGTTATAGACTGCCCGTCGTGTCGATTTGGATAGCTTGAATTGTCTGAAAATCCATAGAACACTTTTGATAAAAGAGAAGGGGAGATAGGGTGAGAAATCTGAAAAATAAAATGGTTGTGTCATGACAAAGAGTTTTGATCAGAAAAGCCCAGACTCTTTTCCTCAAAATGTGGCATCGCTCCAAATCGTTAAAAAATCATCCATTTCGGCTGCGCTACAACGTGAGCTACCCTATCTCAGTGGATGATATCCTGTTCATTTTTCTTATAGAAAGTCAGTTAATAGTCTTTAAATAGCCATATTGAATACTTCTTTAACTTTCCTAACTTTAATGCAGGAATATTAAAGTAACCCTAACTTTTAATGCAGGAATATTGTAAAATAGCTGACTTAGAACATGAGATGCTGCTGAATAAACAAGTTTAAGGGTTTCTTCAAAAACCTTCAAAAAATGGTGATTTCGGATTTATGCATTTTCAAATTCTCTACACTTTTATCTTTCTAAAAATACCATTCTTTAATCTCAATGAAAATTAGAACTGTAAAAAATCTAGTTTTAATTTCTCATTGAGTGCTTTGATAAATGAGGCTTTTTACATAAAAACGCGTTTTTCTCCAAACGTGATTTTTTTATACTCGATGGACCTTTTCTCAAGAACTACTGCTCACAGGTATCTAAAATTTTTATGGCTTATTTATTCGGTTTCCTAATATTTACTGAAATGAGCTTTTTGTGATAATCTAAGAAAAAAAATTATTATTTTTTTTTTTTTTTTTTTTTTTTTTTTGTGTGAGAAAAGTGCTAAATTTTTACTATGCCCTAACAAAATATTCTGTAAATTACTCTAAAATTCAAAATGTTTCAAAAGCTCATTTCAGTATAATTACATAGGTATACTTTAATTACACAAAACATTTCAAGCGTGTATCTACAGCAGATGTTGAGAAAAGACATATCGAAAATGGCCAGTTTAACATTGTCGGTGTAGGGGTTGCTGATACCCCTTAATAGCATCTTAAATCAACATAATTGGCATTAAAATCACAGCTAGAAATCATTAGAAAAATGGATTAATAACCCTGTCGGAAACCATCTTATCTCAACCTTACTGAAACACACTTTGGATGTTCAAGTCTTCAGTTTTGGAATTCTTAAATACAGGGTGTCCCCAAAAATAGCGCCTAAACTCTGAACAGCCAGATTTCTCGTTGGGAGTACATAGAAAGTGGCCAGAGAACTGTATCTATACGATCTATACTTTACGATAAAAATACGTCACAGTCGGTGCAACGAAAAGACATTTTATTTGGCTCATCAACAGCAGTATTAAAGGCAGCTGTTCAAAGTGTCCGCCATGCATATAAATGGATTAACGCGCCTAGTGCTGTGAGCGTCGCAAATCTAGTCACTCCTCATGAAGTAAATAAAATCATCAGATCTCTCAAACCCCAAAAAGCTCCAGGTTGCGATGCAGTCAACAATCTGATGCTCAAGGACATGCCGTTCAAACCTTTCTACAAACTTATGTGTACTTTTTAACCCCTGCTTCTACAATCAGTACTTCCCACAGGCCTGGAAACATGAAAATATCTTTCTCATTCCGAAACCAGGAAAGGAGAATGAAAATTCGGCAAACTACAGGCCCATTAGCCTGCTGTCATCTATCAGCAAAATTTTCGAAAGGCTTATATATAATAGATTGATCAACAACCTTCAATGCTTAGCGGATCATCATTATTAATTTAGGAAAAAAATCTCTACTTCGGGACAACTCGTTCGCCTCAGTGAATTCATAGGCTCGGCGATCCACAATAAAATGAGTGTTGCAATCCTGATGCTAGACGTGGCAAAAGCTTTCGAACGCGTCTGACATCCAGATCTGTTCTACAAGCTTATCAGATTCGACCTGCCTCGTGAACTGGTTTTGCTCATAAACTCTTTCCTCGAAAAGCGCACTTTTACTGTGAAACATGGAAAGGCGATTTCTACAGTAAAGAATATCCTAGCTGGTATTCCACAAGGTAGCATCCCTGGCCCTTTATCTTACATACTTTACATTAACGATTTCCCCAGCTTTCCAGATGACGTTAACATTCTCCTAGCCAGCTACGCCGATGACACCGCAATTGTTTCCAAATCACGTCGATCGGACCATGCTCTGGCCAGGCTGCAAGAGAAAATTCCAGCCATAGAAAAATGGTGTGGTTTTTGCAAAACCAGCATTCAGCCCTCAAAATCTAAAATTCTTCTTATCAGGAAGTATCGTATATTCGACCAAATTAAAACTCAAGTCACCCTTTTTGGCTCCCTAGTCCCAAGGGTCAACAAAGCAAGCTACCTCGGAGTTATCTTCAATAGTAATTTCTCATGGAACGATCACGTGATCCAAGTATCTGGAACGGCCTACAAAATTATGTTCAGACCCGCTGTTAAAATGTGAACAGGTATCTCTGCATCTGAAAACAGACTATTTTACGGCCATTCGACCGATTCTCACATACGCTTTCCCTGCCTGGGCAAACGCAAAAGACAAGGAGTACAAAAAACTCCAAGTCCTTCAAAACAATATTTTAAGAATAATCACCGGAGCTCCCTACTTCGTCAGAAATCTTAGTCTGCACTCGGATCTAAACTTGGAACAAATTCAAGAATTTCTGAATCGCATCGATGAAAAATTCTTCTACAGAGCGATCAGCTACGGCCAGCCTAATTTCGCTAAAATCTGAAGTTACGAAATACTTGACGAAGATAGACTTCTCCGCCCATCCGCCGTTCACTTGTTACAGTCTACCTAAGCCGACCAAAGAAAGCTCAGACTTCTTCGCCCATCCGCCGTTCACTTGTTACAGTCTATCTAAACCGACCAAAGAGAGCTCAGCTTACTCACTCAGTGGTTTGTAAGCTCACCACATTTCGACTTTTACAAACCTCTTCATGTGTTCCGTACAGCTTTTCCCACTTCTCTGTCCTTCTGCAGATGACCCAGAAATGGCTTGCTGATCTCCGAAACCCAAGGCTTCTCTTTTACAAGTTTATCTCAAATATCTCAAATGAAGAAGTTTCATTTTTGGACTTTTACACACGTCAGGACTCTAAGAGGACTCATTCAGGGATCTGGAAAGAGGAAGAGTAGTGCATCTCCCACTGTGGAATGGATGCGTGCACACGTCGCAGCAGCGCGGTGTCCACCGAAGTACAAGAAGAATCCAGACGAACAACTATTTCCGTTTGTGTAATCACTACGTCTTGATACACCAATTTCTTGAGTTGAGTTGAGTTGAGTTGAGAGCAGAATCTGGACACCCGTGCGGCTTACTAAGACTATTCGGGTCTAAACCACCAATTTCTTGAGATGGCCTCATAGGAAAATATCCAACCGTGTGAGATCTGGTGATCGGGACGCGCATAGAACTGAACCTCCGCGTCTGATCCAGCGGCCGGGCTATGCCATATATATATATATATATATATATATATATAGCCAATCACGTACGGGAGCACAGAAATACGCCGGAGCCCCAACATGTTGGAACCAAAAGCCGTGTATTGCAGCTAAGGTTATGTCATCAAAGAACTCGGTTAAGACATCGCAGAGAAATGTCAAGTAGGACTGTCCCGTGAGCCGTTCAGACAACAGATATGGTTCCAGCAGGCGGTTCCTGAGTATGCTAGTCTACACATTTCCAGATTAGCGTTCCTGACCATCGTTTTGCTGCCGAAATGCGCAGCGAACGTTTTGAACGTTATCGTCTGGAAAGATATGCAAATACTGCTGTTGATATGTCTAATAAGGTGTTTTTTTTTTTTTTTTTTTTTCCCGTTGTACCGGCTGTGACATATTTTTCTCGTAAACTATGGATCGTACAGATACAGTTCTTTGGGCACTTTTTATGTCATTACAACGAAGAATCTGGCTGTGCAGAGTTTGAGCGCTATTTGTGGACACCCTGTATTTTTTTCAAAGTTCTTCAAACGTGTTCCGAAGATCTGAACGATTGTGTAAAAAGTACATTATCTTTTTCAAACTATTTGCTTTTGAAAGTATTTGTTAATTTTTCCTTTATTCGTTTCTATTCGGATATCAAGTAAACCTTAATCTCTGCCTTCTACACTAATTAAAGAATATTATATGCGAAAAGGTCATTACTTTTATAGTATGTTTTTCTTATATGCGACATTGGATCTTTGTTTTCTTGACAATTAGTTTGCAAGTATACTGTTCATGAAAGGTGTGTCCAAAGAGCCCCAGCATCCTGTATAAGCACCTATGTCAAGTCCAAAAAAACATCCCATGTGAGTAAATTTCCTTTCTTTAGAGTATAATAATTTCTGTGTTGCTGAATTGCGAGAATGCGTAGATATGGTTAAAAAAATATTTAATCTTTCAGACGTTAACTCACCACTGGACGGAAGGCAACTGTACAGGAAAATGTAGCAAATGCAAGAAACCTATTAAATCATATAACGGCATCACTGGTCTTCACTGTCGCTGGTGCCACATGACTGTAGGTCGTATTCTGTTTTATGTACCTTGTTCTTTTAATAAAAATGCTACCATTCACAGTTTTAAAATTTTAGTGTTTTGCATAGTAGTAGTTGTATAAAACATATGATTTACTAAACTATATTATTGCCGCATTTTGGTTAATAGAAAATACTATATATATTCTACCTTACAGCTCGTTATTCCGTATTCTTAATGTTATAAATGGGCTTACTAAAGAATGCTCTTCAAAATTATTATTAAACTTTTTTGCGAATATGTGACTCTCTTTCGTGAAATAATTATTCTGCGCTTAACTTTCTAATCAAGTTTTATTTCTGGCCAACTTTTAACCCCTCGCCGAAAACGAAAAATTTAAAATTACTATCTGAAGAGGAAGTTTTATAAGCAAATTATACTTTTTAATTCTGCTTTGTTTTACCTATGTTACCTTTTCCACACTACTTCTAGTGTAAATACTAATCTTTTAGGTTGTGTAGTTCAAAATTATAAAAACGATTATAATTATGAATAGATATAGATATATGCACGGTGTACCGTAAACGTTGCGACAAACTTCTAGGGGAGGTAGGGCACATCATAAGGATTAAGAATTGCATAAGAACCTATACCCGGAAATGTCAGGGATAAGTGGTAGCAGAGGTAGAAGATGGGAAAAGAAACAAGAGTAATTAATTTTAAACTATTGGACATGAATACAAATGGCGTACGACAGCTTGAATGTTACAACAAATGCTTGCACCATCAGACGCCAAACATGCTTGACACCGAAGGACCATTTGAATGGCGCGAATTATTTGATCCTTCTGGAGCAAGTTCTTCCCGATTTGCTTGACGATGTTCCACCAAATGTGAGGCGCAACATGTGGTTCCAACATGATGGGGACTGCTGCTCATTTTGGACTGGATGTTCGTAGCCGTTTGAACAGATTATTTCCGCATCGATGGATAGGGCGTGGTGGACTCGTTCCCTGGCCTCCACACTCACCGGATTTATCGAGCCTTGATTTCGTTTTGTGAGAAGCCATCAAAAGTGTCGTGTATCACGATCCTGTTGTGTCTGAATGGATCTCGTGGCAAGACTTGCCTGGCGAAGCTGCTCCAGAAATCAGAGAAACTCCCGAGTGTGTTTGAACATGTCCGACAATCAAAGGATCCGTCGGTGTCAGGCATGTTTGGCGTCTGATGGTGCAAACTTCGACCATCTGTTGTAAGATTCAAGCTGTCGTACACCATTTGTATTGTTCATGTCCAATAAATGCTTAAAATTAATCACTCTTGTTTCTTTTCCCATCTTCTACCTCTGCTACCATTTACCCCTGACATTTCTGGGCATGGGTTTCTAGGCAATTCTCAAACCTTATGATGTGTCCTACCTCACATAGAAGTTTGTCACAACATTTATGGTACTCGTTGTATATATAATTTTGTGTCACGCATTTTACTAATTATTATAGTACTTCAATAACTATTAACAACATGTTTCAGAAAATTTCACTTAATTCTATTTATTATATAAAATATTAAGGCATTAAATTTTACATTTTTAGTATCTTCCAAACGCATACATTCAGCTTTTATACTGAGGTTTACTTGTATTTTTAATTATGTAAATTCTCATTCTATAATTAATTAACAAGAAAGCTGAGTTATCAAAACTGAATAAATAATCAACTATAAGTAAAATTAAAATGTTATGGGAAGAAAATTAATTTTGTTCAAACAGGTGTAGTTTAAATTTCTCAGCATGGTGCAAATATTGAATTAAAAGTTTTCAACGCAAAACAGAATCGTTTTTGTTTTATCTTGTTGCTCGAGACATTATTATCAAACTGAAGAATTGTTCACAGCACAACCTTTACTCATGTAAGAGATTTTTGCTAACATTCTCGTACTGATAATGGAAATAAATGAATGTGTCGACATAGGAATCTTGTGTAGATAATGTGGAATGCAGCAATTGTTTGATATGACAGTGAGCGAACCACAAGATTGCTCTGGCTGCGTATTTTTCAAGAGCATATCTCGTGAAAGCAATGAAGTACCATGGACCGACAGCGAGCCCATACGCTATACGACTTTTCAACAACTTGGTTGATAACGCAAAAGTTGTCGAATAAGTCGTATAGTTTATGCGTTCTTCAAGCCACCTCGTCAAAGTTGGTTTTGGTGTCCATGGACTGCGTCTGAAACTCAAACGCCAGATATAAGTTGACGGAAGTTGAGTATGTTACAAGTCTGATATCTGTTTTGGAATAGCATGAAGTGTTTTGCTTCTTCCTAAATAGGTTGTGCAACTTGTGATCAATTTTTTTATTTTTATTTTATTTCTTTCTTCCTTTTACTTTAACTCTTTGCTTACTGCAAGATTAAGCATTGGCGAAAACATACTGCAAATACGAATTTTTAACTTGTTGTCAGATACAGGGATTCACCCCTAACTAGAGGTTTTAGTAAGCTTTTAGGCTTTCTATCATTTTAATGGCTTCAAGGGCATTAAAATTTAATTTTCAATTTTAGTTTCGTCATTTTTAAATTTCCCTCTATCATAAAGCAAGTTTAAACGATTCGCTATTAAAATTTTTATGCATTTTGTTAAATTTGTTTGTCGTGAGTAATTTGTCGCATGTATGTTGCTTCTCGACTAAATGCATGTTTTCATCGAACTTCAGTGTGTGCATTTTAAATGAAACACATATTTGAATGCTGTATTCTTACTGGTGAGCAAGATATTACGTTTTCTGTCTTAGTTGCGAAGAGAGAATTGTTTCGGTTGCCGAATCTGGTGTCTATAAATGCCATAAAATGAATCATATACAAGTTATCAATGCTAACACATAACTGTTATTTTTGATGATTATAAATTATTGGTAATTTCAAATACATGGAAACTCTAAAAGACTATGAAGTCAGTTAGGAACTGTAGATCATACGTGAAAAACACGTGAGCTCTGAAATCCAGATTTTTGCAGCAGAATAATTGGATCTACTACTGAACAAATTAATGCCTGATAAAAGTAGGTGCGCATTTAAAATGGAGCAAGGGAATTTTATTATTTGCATGAAATGGGTTGACAGATATAATGCTTAGTTTATGACTAGGAATGAGAACTAATACGTGAAATAATGAAATTTGTGATTTTTTGGGTTCTAATTTCTTTTCAGTAAATTGCATTGTAAATATATATTTATTGACTGGCGATTTTAATTTCTAAAATATGGTATTTAATAAATGATTTAGTGGTATAATCGTATAATAAAACTGAAAATACTACTCGATAAATACAAAATACCTGTAAAATATATTCCAGTGTTTTACTGAAATATTTTAGGAACATTTCTCTAAGCATTTTTCTAATCAGAACATTTTAATTTAAAAAACTGTCAAGATAAATTATTGGTCATTTGGAAATAAGAAAACCTATTCACAAGCTATAGAAGAAAACCCCTACGTCGCCAGAAGTTCCATTTGAAATGTATTGTCGGTAAATCATATTATTTCCTCAGCATTTTGAATATTTTTGCTTGCTTTGTTGCTAAGAAAAAGCTCTTTCTAGGCCTGTCAAGGGCCTAAGAGGCCTAAAACATATTTTCTGATACCCCACTTATTTATAGTTATTCGAAAAATAAATTTGTCCGAGTAGGCTTTACATTTTTTGTAAAAAAGGAAGCGTCATTTCAACTGTAAGTGTACATTCTATCTCACAGCTACTATCCCAGAACAAATATTACCATTACGATTCACCAAAGACCGAAAGCTACTGCTAATAAGATGAGGTTGATTGTGTTATATAACACCTACATCATAATCGTTTTTTATCCGCATACTTCTTTCCTAAACATATTTTTGAATTGGGCAGCATTCGCATATAATCTGTTGTTAGGTAAATAATAACATTCATTTATGACTTCTATTAAAAAGAAGCCAAACGTTTATTAGCTACCAGTGATAGGCTAACTTTGTTAATCATGAATACCTGCTCAATATTTTATACAAAACCCTAAAGCAAAAGAAACGTATAGAAGCGAAATACCATATGCCAATTCCCCAGGACATAAGACTCTGCTTATAATATCAGTTTTGTACGCGAATTTTTAAAACTAGAAGAGAACTTTTGTGCACTAGTTGATACTGTTAACTTTGAGAGTCGTCCTATCCTAACGGATTACAAGAAAAAAGCTTTAAACTTTACTATATAATTTCGCTCTCTGGCTTTTTTATATGTAACTTGAATTTATCTTTAGGGAACGATATTAGTGAAATTGTAATAGAAAGTTAAGGCTATGGCAAAGATAAATGTATAAATGTCTTGATGTAAAGTGAGTTCGGCAACCGAAATCTTCTCCACTCATTTAAGCATAGACTTGTCTCTGTGTAACTACAATCTTGCTTTTGTTCTTTCGTGTTTTGAATTGTTGTTTAGTAATCTTTTTTAAGCAGTTCTGTATTGTTTTTAATGTTGTCTTTGTATATGGAATGTTTTCCGTTAAGTCGAAAGATGGCTTCACAGAAATTCGAGAATTTTCGACGATGTCTTTTTGCCATGAAATGGAATGTTCTTAAATGAAAATTCTCGAAACTTCGTTTGTTGCGTCCGACTAGAAAGGGGAACATTTGCTCTTTAGTTATGTTCCCCAAACTCAAAAATTTGGAAATACATGACGTTATTTACAAGTTATATTGCCAGAAGACTTCATTTTCTTTAAACTGAATTGTATCGATGTCTAGCAGAACTTGTTAAAGACACATGCAAAAATGTTAGTTTCCAGATTTATCCTTAATTTTAATTAGAAATACAATTATTGTTTTGCAATTAAATATAATCAGAGTGGATTTTGAGACACCAAATAAAACTCTTTTTAGAAAATTTTTTTCTGAAATTTGTGATTTCGAATTCTAAAGAAAACCGACACTGATAAAATTTTGTTTCATCATTTTATGACTATCAAGAACGCGAAATCTGTTGCAATTTTAAGTCTGGATTTTTTTTTTTTTTTTTTTTTTTTTTTTTTTTTTTTTTTTTTGCTCAAGTCGGACGCATCGAACTGAAAGGCTACAGAAGACTATTTATCATTTTATAAATCTTATGGTGTTTTTCGTAAATCTAGGCAGCTTAATAGCTAACTTTCAAATGCAGATTCCATGACCTTTTATATTTGTTGATTTTTACCGCCTAAGAATACATGACATTAACTTTATATGCATTATTATTGTGAATGGAAGTTATCTTAGAACATTTTTTTCCTTTTTCAGCTTCATAACCATTGTGCCTCTCAGGTCAAACCCGAATGTACACTCGGCGAACACAGGGATCACATCTTACCTCCCACATGCATCTGCCCAATCGTTCTTGTAAGTACAACATACATTTATGCATTTTCAAATTACATTTCTTCGTAATAACACATATGTGCTTTTGCTTCCATATAACATCATCCAAAATGTTAATATGAAATAATGCCTGTTAAATAGGAAAGTGTAAATTTTTAATATTACTTTGGTAAATGTAGCGTATTCATAAAAGAAGTAGTCCACTAAAAAATTTGAATGAAACAAATTGAAAACAAAATATTCACAAAAAAATTTGAAATGGTATTAATAGAGATTTGCTTTTGAAAAGATGGTGTAATAGTAACGATTTTTTAATATATTTAGTATACAGATATCATATAGCAATATTTTCTGTATTTGTTGCTTATAAAATGTTTATCCAATAGTGCATTTCCAAGCATGTATGCTTTTGAATGTCAGGTTTATACAGAAGATAGTAATGCATTTTTTCCAGCTCATTGAGAGATGTCGTCTTTGTTTCTTATGCTTTCCTTTCTTTCTTCTAAGTTTCTTTCGTCTTTGTTTCTTGAGATTAGTTATTTAAGAAAGAAATCACCCAATGCACCTGTTCTTTTTGGATTTCCTCTTTAGTCTTAGTTTGTGAGAAATCTTGGTTTCGATACTACGATAATATACATTTGGATTCGATAATACGTATATACAGAGGGTGTTCACACATTTTTTGCAACGATTTTGCAAAGATTTATATATAAACAAACTTTAGAATTTTATTTTCTAACATGTTCAGTCTTATAGCTCTTTTGTTGAACTACCATATTACATCTTGATTTCCAAGATGGAAGTCCTTTTTTTTAAAACAACAAAGTTGATTTTATTCCACTCCTCCTTCACAATCTTCCAGAATCCATCCAATGTTTTGGGATGCGCTTATAAAGAGCTTGTTTCAAAAGTCCAAATGTGCATAATCCATAGGAGACACATCAGGAGACTTGGGTGGGATACAAAGGGAATAGTTTCAATTCCGGTTTTATTTCTCATTTTTTCAAAAATATAGAGCAGTAGATTTAGAGGTATTGCTTGGTGCCTTATCCTAATGGAACTTAACACAGAGAAGATTGTTTGGATAAAGAGATGAAATTTCTTCTTTAAAAGTAAATATTAAAACATATTTCTGATAGTAATCCGAATTTATTTTCTTTATTTTAAGTTTTCCGTTATAAAAGAGAATCCAGTAATAACCATAAAAATCTTTGGAAAAACTTTCTTTGTTTTCTCTGAACCAAAAACCTTTTTCACCTCTTTTTCGATAGTAAATCGATCTTTTTCTACTGCAATCAGATATCCAAGCCTCATCGTTTGCAACTATATATTTCCATTTTTCACCAGCCAAATAATTTTCATACAGCAATCTGCACATAGTCTTAGGACGTTAAGGATGAACATCGTGTGCTTTTATTTTCATTAGCTTTAAATCAGATTTTATAATTTTTTCACATTTTGTACAGAGATATTTAAAGATTTTGCAATAGCTCCTTGGGAGAAGGGCCAGATTTGCCTTTAAAACATGAGATGCGACTTTAGATTTAATAAGAGCTGTATACGTAGCTTGTTGGGTATGCATTTTTTGCCCCTTTTTCCCCGTCAGATGTAAACTTTGACGTTTCTTTCCTTTCATATTAATTATCTCACTTATTTTACGCGTAGAAACATTAAAACCATTCTTTTCATAACTTTTTAATAATTGAAGAAGAGTATTTCTCTTCCGACAGCTCAAATATATAGCCTTCGATCCCTTGTTTATTTTTCAATGACATTATAAAGAAAAGAATATTTTTAATGCTGCAGACAATAATTAAACCTTTCTCCAATTGGATGCCAGTCACATTTGTATTTTAAAATTAATATTTAAATTCCTGGAAAAAATCAAAATCGTTACAAAAATGTGTAAACACCCTCTATATTTGGAAAATCTGAAGATCTATATACATCTCTTTTATTGAGAAATGATGTCTGCTATATTTTTATAGCGCATATGTTAGACGTTCTGATTCCACAATAATAATACAAAATTTGCCTTCTGAGGCTACACAATTACTTTGTTTACTGTGCTGATACATATTGACACATTGCGACGTATATAATCAAACTCTGCTCGTCCACAATTGTTGCATCTATTCGAAAATATGTCTGATATTAACTATCATATAGTTTTTCTGACGGATATAAAATTAAATTTCATACTTGTATATTGATTGGTTCCGTATAGAAGAACTCAGGAAGTGTTCTAAGATTACCTCTTTCACTTTTCTGACATTATACATGGTAACACTGTATTGGATTTTATGGCTACATCGATGTGACCTTAGCTTTGAATTGATTAACCACAACTTTTAGTACGCGGTCAAAGCATATGGAAATATCTAGTTTTTTTACTGGTTAGTAAAGGCAGCGTCTCCATAATTATACCACATAGATATGACAGAATCTTGTATTAAACTTAAGAACAGCCATAGCGAAATATTTGAAATGCTACACTAAGCATATTATGATGAAATATTTGACCGTGCTTTAGTATTTTATATTTTAATAATACCCCTGCGATTGAAGTTGCCATTATTGGACAGCAATCAACACGGAATGAATAGTCATTGTTATGAAAAATATCTACGAGAAGTCATCATGAAGATAGTTCCAGATGTAGTCAAGAAACAGTGGTTTCGATAAGGTACATTCAGTTACTTGTTGCCGCTATGGCATTTACAGCACTCTCCGAAACTACTGTTTGAGCATTAAAATAATCTTACTTGTAGATTATAGGTAATGCCGTACTATTTTGGTAGCCTTCTTAACTTTAGAAAGGCAGTAATGCAGACGGAAATTCTCTTCGGATAAGGAAGGAAGAAACTGCATGCTGAAATAAGATCGTGTATTTGAATCCTTTGTGATACACTGTGAAATGTGCAACATAAATTCGGAAGGGGGAAAGAAAACACATAATAGGCTGTAGAATAATTTGGTTTCGTGTAAATCTTATAATTTTAATAATATAAAATTTCAGTCTCAAAATTTTTCAATCAGGTTTCCTATATTAAATTACATTTTCAGTTTATACAAAAAAAAAGTGTTTCACAGCGATAAATATTATTTCTTTTCTGAGACTACCGGAAGGTAGAGGTTATTACATGATACATTAATTTAATTTTACGGAAAAAATGTCGCTGAACGCTGGTAGTTCGGTTCGAAGTTCGAATCGTGCGAACAGGCCAGCTGCATAGGCGTTTTCCCCATGTGTAACGTGCATACGAGCCAGTTTCCCTTAGAAATTCGTCCACCAAGGCATCCCTACCCTTAGGCAGATAGCATTCGAGGCTTTGCCATAAGCACATAAACCAAACCAAAAATAATATACAAGTTTCTCTTTTCCAATGGCAGATTGTGAACAATTACAAATGTAACCCAGTCCATTAATCTATACAAGGCCAGATGTGGTGGTCTCTTTATTATGGAGGCACTCAATAGTTTGGCCATCATCGCCTTTCCTATGAAGGGACGAACAGTTTAGAAAAATGCCTTCTCCGGGATTCGAACCCAGGCCCTTCGTTATCGCAGTCAGCTTTGCTGACCACTATACCGACTGGGCGGCATATACGAGTTTTAATTCCCAGAAACAGATTTTAGTCTTCATTAATTCTTAAATATTTCTGTCTTAGACGAATAAATATATCATTTATATTGATTGTCAGTGTTCTGTAATTTTCCATCTCAAAAGTGATATCTCTCCAAAACAAATTGTTAATAAGTTTTATTATGGATATTTTCATAACTTCGTATATCTCGCGCAGCAGAGCTGTTACGGAAGATTGCATATACATAATATTATATTAGCTGTTAATCTTGTGTTGTTAAACATAAACTCAGTAGCTGCATAATGCAATATCATATTCTTTAACGTATGTATCTAAGTATATGATATGCAAGAAAATGGTGCACTTGCCTCTGCTTTTCTTGATATTACTAAATATTATAAAATTAGTAAAACCCAGCAATCCAGTTTATTACTTATGAAAATATTAAACACTTAAAAGACAGTACAGATAATAAAAAGTTTGGTTGACTTACACATTTCTTATTGGAATTGAAAGCCAGCTTACTCCATTCTTCTTCAAACTGGCTAAATTTAATGGCTGGGGTAAAGTACATAAATACACTTTAATATCATTTGTGGCCCATTTGTTTCAATAAAAAGCTGTATATCTGAATACAGGAGATCTGCCGAGACCTTTTTGGTTTTAGTGTATCAACGATTGAATCATACAAAATGTGAAATAAGTAACAGTACAGGACCATACGATTATCTTTATGTAGTGTCGTAAAAGTTTTTATTGTGAACTGAATGTTACAAAGAAAATAAATGTTTTTAGGAGATGGTGCATTTCTAAGTTTTAGGATATCGAAAACTAGAAGGGTAATTAAGTAGAATAGACTCACCTACAAAAGTTGGACGATAAAAAGTGAAGCACTTGGAAAGTATGGCATTTTAAATTTCGAAATATTCACTCAAGATTTTATATGTACTTCTGATTTGGAAACTTTGAATGACTTTTAACTTTTACCTAGAGTTATGAAGTATGAAACTTGAATTTCCGGTGGTACTAACTTCAAACACTGAGAATCAGAGAATATAAAGGAAAATATGTCACACTCAGAGTTTCAAAGAATTGTTGGTGCTTATCTTCCTAGTGTATCTGTTACCAAAGTATTAGGTGTTTAAATATTTTGAGAGCCACAGTATCCGATGTCATATCTAAATAATTATATAAAAATGAAAATCGTCGTCCATTCACTTTTATTTGCTGTGAACTCACCCACTCATATGAATACTTTTTTATAGTGGGTACTAGCCAGTTTAGGCTTTGTCCACTACTAAGGCCAGAAGCTATGGTCATTTTATTGTGGAGGCACCTAATAGGCGGCCATCGTTATCTCCTGTGTAAGGACAGACAATTTACACCCATACCTTCTCCGGGATTCGAACCTGGGCCCTTCGATACAGCAGTCAGAGTCACTAACCACTTTCCAATCTGGACAGCCTTATGCAAATACTATCTGTCTGGAGCTTATCAGTCATTCACGTTCGGGCAACTGTAGCAAAGCCAGTATTTATTGTGTATGCTAGGAGTTTATTGGTTGGAAGCTCTTTTAGAAGTACATAATCCTGTTACAATCGCTGAGTTTATAGAAAATGAATTTCTAGCTTTATAATTTATTTTCTAGCTTTATAATTCTAGCTTTATAATTATAAAGATAATTTATTTCTTATTTTTTCCGTTAAACAAAAATACGTTTATTTAATTTAACACAGAGATGTGGTATTTATACTATTTAACTATCTTCTTGTTAATGGACTTCAACAAACCAAGGTTATGGGATATCGCGGTTGATACCGCCATGAATTTTCAAAGTCACTGCTTCGAAAAGAATGCTTTTAGACATTTGGCACTGCGTTGAATCTGAAAACAAATACCATCTACACAATAACTCTGATATGCTGTTCACATATAATATACATTTCGTTCTTTTAACGTGGAGTAAAATATCGAAAAATAACATAGATTGTAGTTGTGTGTGACAGATTCGCGACTTTGGCATGGGGCCTACGATATCTGGATTTCATTATCTTAGATTTCCATTTATGTCAAAATTTATGTTAGGTACCACAATCAAAAACCAATAACCATCCCAAAAATATTAAATATTTTGAATTCTTCTGTAGTTCAATTAAACTTTTAAAACTATTCACTACTGCTTTTAATGTGAATGAAGAAAACTTTACTATCGGCAAACTGTATTTTACTTTCTTTGCATTCATAATGCAAAGAATCATAGGGATCATATAAGAAATTCTTAGTCTAAGATCACAAGTTCGCGAAACTTTCAAAATTAACAGTAGCAGTGACTAGGGCAGATATAAGTTTATTAGTCGCTTATGGTTTGCGTTAATTATATATTTCTGAACATGATACTTGGGTTGCTGATTAATTTGTGTATTTTCCGCTTTACTTGTGAAGAAAAATAATTCTAATAGGAAGCTCAGTTTCAGTTGTTTTAAAAATTTCTTTAATATTTGAAATTGAAATAGGTTTTAGTATAAGAAAGAAAAATTATCCTTAAGTCAGAGAAAAGTTTTAAAACAGTATTGTGAAAATATGACAGTCAAAGTACTTTATAGGTAGATAGATCCAAAAAAATGTTACAAGCATTTGGAATTTTAAAAGTAATTACTGTAAATGAAATACTTTTTCCCCAAAGTGTAGACAGATGGCACTAATTTTCTAGCAACTCTGGTGGGTAGAGTAATTTTGGAGACGTGTCAGAGCGACCGAAATGTCAAGAAGTTTAGAAAAGTGGTCTTGCTTCGACGTGCGAGCCGTAATTCGTTTCTCATGGGTAAAGAATGTATCCGCATCTGAAATTCACAATCAAGTCGTGAAATTTTACGGGGAAGAAGCAATAAGCTTACAGCATGTAGCGAAATGGTGTCGCTCTTTTCAGTCGGGCAGAGAGTATTCGGAAAATCGCAATAGGGTCCTGAGCCCTACTGTCCAAGTTCATCAACGACAGAAATCAACACGGCGTGAGTTGAAGAAAGGATCGGGCTGTGGGACATTGAGCTGTGGTATCGAGCAGCGTATCGTTTCTGATGTGTTGCAATATTCCAAGGTTTGTACCCGCTGGATACCACGTACGTTATCCGAGGAACAGGAAATCCCACGAATTATGTGCAGTCGTGATCAGCAGGCGTTATCCGAGGAACAGGAAACCCCAGAAATGATGTGCAGTCATGTTTCTTCAGCGTTATAGTTCTGACAGACAGCACTTCATCGAATACATCGTTATTGGGAACGAAACCTGGCTTTATCGTTTTCGTCCTCACAACCAAAAGAGCTACTCTGGAGTGGAAACACGGTGGATCACTAATGAAAAGAAGTTCTAAGAGTACAACGTCTGCCGGTGTAGTTATGGCAACCATATTCTGGATTTTTGTGGTCTTATCTTGATCGAATATCTGGAGCGTGACTATTGTTACGACACGAGCGCCCTGGCATGTCGAGAGATGGTGTCATCTTGCTGCGTGGCATTACCCGACCTCTTATTGCTTGCCAAACTCAAGAACTGCTGCAAAAGTTTTAAGTAGGAAGTCTGGAGTCACCCCCCCCCATATATCCTAGATTTAGCACACAGTTAGTTACTATTTCCTTTTTCCAAAATTGAAAGAACATTTAGCTACTATGAGGCTTTCTTATGACGATTTCTACCAACCCCGGTAAACAAGTTGATCATGCGTTCAGATAAATGATTAAATAAATTTGGTAGTTATGTGGAAAAAGGATAGCCAAGTATGCCTTTTAATTCCCTCTTGTATTTTTATTACCCTTTTTTATTGAATCAGCCCACGTATATTAAATAAAATTAATGACTTTGCTCTAGAAGAAAAATTTAAACCTGAGAAATGAATATCATGTTACATTGAATGCAAAATAAACTAGAACTTTTGAAGGATTTTAACAAAAAAAAAATTATTGTAATGCTGCCTATAATGCCTAATATCTCTAAAATATTATGTAAGAAAGATATGATAAAATTGATTTAACTGCTAGATAAATATGTTTACTTTTAATGTAAAAGATAATTTGTAATATTATCTTTTACATTAAAAAAAAACATATTTGTCTAGCAGTATAATTATTTTATTATAATAGAATTATTTTATTATAATTTTGTAAAATTATTTTATTATAATTTTAAATATTAGCTTGTGCGTATAACTTAATATGATTTTGGGGTGGGTATTTTAATTGCGAAATATCTTATAATTGGTCCGATGCTCTTATTTGATTATATAATCATTTAATCATGCTACCGAAGTTTTATTTTAATTTCAATAGCAGTTACTTCTAGCATTCTGAGTAATATTTAGGATTCCTACAACATAAAAGTTTAAGCTGTTTTTCTGTATAATTCACCATCGATTACTTGAAATATTTTCCAATTCCTTGCGATATCGAAAGAATCGTGATTTTATGGGCTTTTCTAATGATAGCTTTTTTCTCGCAGAGGTTTTTTTGCCTATACTTATTGGCATTAATGCATTGCCCAAATGTTCGCTGCCTCATTCAAGTTACACTATGAATACAGAAATAATCTTGTTCAATGTTTCTTACTTCTATCAGAAGGCATCGGTCTCTAATGTGTGATTCCTTTCAGGAGCGGCAACGCAGTGTGTCCGCCGGCCACAAAAAGAATCTGAGCAGAACGGATTCAAACTTGGTGGGAGATAACAACCAGGGAGCTGTAAGTTTACCCGAAACCCCTGAAGTAAGATTATGTATTTTTTCTTCCTAGCTCAGCCGGTAGAGATTCCTGGCCTCGCTAACCGCACGGTAGTTGCTTCTAATGGCTTATTCCTCTGCCTGTTCCTTTCATCGATTTGCACAGTATGTGATTCAAAAGCAAGTGAAAAATTTTAACTCCAAAAGAAGAATTTCAGATGCCCTAAACTCGCATTAGAACGCATGCGAAAGAGGCTTATACGCTAAATAACTGCATCTTTTTATCTCCTTTAAAGTTAAGTAATAAATAATATGTGAATCGAGGCATGATCATTTGTTAGATTCATTTAAGGAGTTTTTCCTACCGGATAAAATTATATTTTCAGAGAAATAAAAAAAAAAACACTGCTGTTGTCACAAAAGATGATTTTCTGTAAACGAATCATAATAATTTAGTACTACATAGGTCATACAAAATAATCATTCTTACTTCAAAAAATAGTTTAGTCTACTATGACCTTTCTCACTTAACGAATTCAAACTCTAAAAAAATATTCCTTCTCGAAATGCCGAACAACGGATTGGCTGCATGGGTGTTTTCGTGATTTTCTTCATATATAACCTGTATACGATCCAGTTTCCCTCAGGAAGTCCTCCACGAAAGGCTTCCTATTCTTAGACAGATATACCTCGAGTGCTTTGCTGTAATCAAATAAACCAAACCACCTATTCTGCAAGCGTGCCTGACATAAGTTCTATAAATTAATACCGATCTTAAGAGTATGTAACTGGAATGTACCAACTCCGAATAGAATAAAAGTAAATTTCTAGGAGAAACTTAGAATAATTTATACTGAAAATAACTGGCAAATTATTAATATGGACTCACCTTTTGCAAATATTTCATACCCATTACTCTCTTTCTTCACTGTTGGATGCGAACTTCAAAACAGTTTTTTATCTTTGGTGCCAAACACACACGTTTTTGATGATTTCTCCTTTTCTTCGTAAGCGGGATACTTTATTATAGTGAAAACTCAGTAAAAGGGCTAGAACAACAGCAAAATAGTGAAATTACACGTTAAAACTAAATTCCGTGCCAAATAAATTGCTGCATATGAAAATATGCGAAATGTATTTTAATGCCACTTATACTCTCCACTTGTTGCATTCACTATTGCCTATACTATAAAACAATAGGCATCTGTCATTAAAGCGGTTTCCAAGAATTAAGCGTTTCTTAATGCGGTCTTATAACTGGAGCTATTGAAATGAGTTGAACTTCAAATATTGGATTTTCCCTCATGGCTAATTTAAGAGTGTAATGTGATCGTAAGAACTTCGGCAAATCGTTGATTTATGTTAAAAACAGTGCGGCTGAAAAAAAAGACGTGGTATGAGCATGACTTGCATCATCTAGTAATAATCATTTCAGGCGAGAAGAATGCAACAATCGGATGCCTCAACAAATACCAGCCTGAGACTGTGAAATGGTGATTTCATGACACAGGCTTTAGGAGCCGATCTGACACCCAGCCGAAGTACTGCTGATGAACATATGACACAGCTAAGGAGCTTTCCGACACTTCAGCCTTGATGACTAGAAACTGATAGTAATGGCTGCATCGTGATTTAGCCAACTGCGTTCACAAGTATTTTGGGTAAAAATTTACAGTAAGATGCTCCTTGATATTTTTGGCGATTTTGTGACGCCAAGAAGCAATGTTTCCAAGATGGCTGTCATCTAAAACACCTCCGAAAACGTATTTTACAAAGGCAACGAAAGTACTCACCTCGTGTATTCTTGGCTACGTCTGATTGTCAGCGTCGGATGACTGCTGCACATACTACATAGTGGAAATCATGTAGTCTCGGAACAGATCCTCCTTCTCCTGATCCCGGTATTAGCGACGCCACATGAACTCCGCAAAGTAAATAAAATGGCATCCGACGACTGCCGAAGAACCCGCTTGCGAAAATTAGCATTTAATCTGGCTCCATATGTCTTCAATGGTGCTGGCTTGAGCGCCAAGTTCGAGTGCCTTTCTCGCGACAGATCCTGTCATAACCATCCTGTTGGTCCTTAAGCTCGACCGGACGCATATATTTGGCACAAACTTGACATTCATAACGAAAACTAATTAAATCTTCATACATACACCAATCAGTTGTGGCTTTCTTACCCTTTCGCTCTAAATCAATTAAAAAACGTATATTTATTTTACCAAACATACTTCTTTGTGAAAATGACGGGGGGAAATGATTAAGTAGAACCAGCCAGCTAATGAAAACTAAAGGTCAATTAACAACAAGTAAAATTCTAATATTTCAAAATGCTGCCAAAATTCAAAATACTTTCTTTATAGTACGTGTAACTACGTAACCCTCAGTCATTAAATTAGAAGTTACAATTAGATTAATCTTACGAAAGAAATTGACACGTAATATAAAAATGACTGCCATAACATTTGAGAAACATACTTTATTCTGGATTATCAGATAACTGATAACAGTGTCTGTATTTAGCGCCATATCAAAGCGCTGCCTTTTCTACACTAGGGAAAGCCTATTTAGACAAACAGATAGATCCGAGTTGACAAAATCCGATAAATCTATGGATTTCACAGGTCAACAGAAAACTATGCAGTCTGTGAAAGCTCCGTAATGGTGTAGTGTTTGTTTAATTAGCATTCAGTGGGATTCTTCGTACGTCTACAAACGTTTTAAGAGGTATTAGTAGTGTATGTTATATCAATTATATCTGTTGTTCACTATGTGCGCATTTTTCCTACTGAGTTACATTTTTAATGCCCGGCGTTAATTTTGATGAGTTTGGCTTCTTCAAGCAGGATAAGGTAGTACCACACATGCCTGGAGACGTTATATTACGATTAGAGAAGCACCTCTCTACTTTTGAAGTCTTTGAATCGTCGAAAGTTTTTGAATCATCGAACATAAGTCGAAATATTTTAATATTATCAAACACATCAAGGGTTTCATACAACGCACTGTGAAACAGAGAAATCCTGGGCCTTCAAATGCAACAAAATTATGAACTACTTCCCAGGAAGATCGCCTACAGAATGCTCTGTCATACTCATAGAGCCCGTGTTTCTGTAATTCTATGTTTTTGTATTTCGCAACGAGTCTACAAAGTTTTAGGCTGATATACCAGTACATTTAGCACTTCAGTGTACGTCTGCTTGTTAAAGTGATGGTTTTCGAAATGAGTAACTCGCAGTATTTCCTATCAAATATGCAGTGATCACGTTAGTTCAAACGAAATGAATCCTTTTTAATGTTCATATGCTCATCATAAATCTCACTACGAGAAACGCTTTCATATAGCCCTTGAGTAACAAGCTATAATTTGTGAAATAAATTATTTGTTTTCAGAAGTTTAAATAGTAAGGGATTTATTTTAAGCTATAATAATTTTATAATTGTCTCGTGTACACAATATGGTTTTAAAATATCAAACTAAATTGAACATAGTGCTGTGCTTTTCTTTTGTTCCAAAATTTATATCGAAAGGAACTGCACAATGAAACATATAACCTCATTTGGTTTTAGCATTAAACTTGAACAGCGAGACAGAGCGCTTCATCTTTCTGAGACAGTTCAGCTCATGTGCATGATATTAAAACCGAAATATGTAGTTATAGATAGAAAATTCGTATTTCCCTTTTATTTAATTAACTTCCATTTTAAAAGTGTAGAAGTTTCCAAGAGTGCAAGACTAAAACTAGTGCTGACTGCATGACAAAAAATTTCATCGGTGCGCATGCTTATCCTGTAGTATTTGCCATTATCACATCTGTAGCTCCTAGAGAGTACGTTGCTTCCATCCATTTAGGCAAAAGATATATAACATAAAACCCTATACTCTTTGTAGTCCATACATAGACACATACTATGCTGTATGTATTACATACGAAATAAAATTAGTAGTGTATGTTATATCAGTTGTATTTGTCCTGTTGTTAGAATGTTAGTCTTCCAACATCCACAAATCACGACCTCCGCGTTCTGATACTTTTAAGAGGGAAACCTAATTTATAAGCTGATATATTTTGTAAAGCTGCATTTATGATGATTCAAAGCGCGAGGCTCATGTATAGCTGCTTTCTGTTTGACATATGTCCATGAACAAAACTCTCAGAAAGAATTAAGTTGCACATCGAAAGCAGCCGTAATGCTTTAGCTAGCAATCTCTTCTCCGGTACCTAGTTCTGTGATATAATGCGCAAGCTGACTTCATGCACAGGCTATTCTTTTAGAAGTCAATTTTATGCAGCATCTTTCGAAGATCTCATTGATATCATATGCTATGTGTTAGCTTAGTAAAACTATTTAGGACCAGTAATATACGTACAACACGCACTAAGTGCCTGCTCGTTTCTGGAGAAAAGCTCTTTGCGAATGATATTTGAATTCTCTTCAACCAGTACGTGCAGTTATGTGAACTACCACGGCCTTAAAAAGAAATTCGAATAAATAAAAAAAGATGTGAAAGCTTTCAGGTTTCATATTTTGCCCAGAGGGGCACTTTTTTGACGTTTTGTGTGTTATCTTTATTTATTAAATATCATGTTCTTCGCACTTAAACCATAAAATTCAATTCAACAGCAGTATCGCGAAATAATTTTAAAATAAGCTACACAGTCTTGCGCGTTGGAGATACAAATGCTCGTTTTTTTCGTACAGTGCAGTGTTGCCCATTGCTCGCTTTGAAATCGACAAGCTTCTTAATCAAAAACTCATAAATGTTTTACAAAATTTTAAATAGATAATAAAACAAATTCAAAATTTGGGCTTCCAGATGCCCATATTCGGGTGCAGACGTACGTTATTCAAAATTGGATGGCACTGGGTACCGTAATTTATACAGCAAGCGAGAAACATTCGTACATTTATGCAGATTCTTCATTATTTAATTTCTTTAAATATAATATAGGGCTCTAATATTTAAAAAAGTGATTCGGCGTTTACAGTGAATAAACGCAAAATGCCAAAACGAAAGTAATAACCCTTATGAACAAATTG